AAAAAAAAAAAAAAAAAAAAAAAAAAACGCGAAAGGGCGGTGTTCTTCATCGGGCCCGGCCTTGCCCTTTGGCGCTGGACCGTGGACTTGATCACGGGTGTGATACCTTCGAGATTTCCGCCCTGAAAGAAATACTATCAGGGCTGACAGCAGAGTTTCTTCCTGGCTCATAATAAAAAAAATTAACAACAGCAAAAGGGTGGAAATAAAAGATAATTATAGATGGTATCAATTTCAGGAAGAACCAGCAATTCCAGGCCTCATTCTAAATTCAGATCTGCATTACAAAAAAGCCAAAACCCCTTTGAAATCTGGACCATCAAAAAAGTTTTTACATGTGGACTCCCTCTCTTTAAAACAAAATTTAAAGGAGCAGAAAAAATTCATCTTTGAGATAATTTCATTTCAGAGAATTGATGAGGGGAGAATTTTATGCCTATATAGGCATTTTGATGATTCATTTTCTATGCCTATATTTATATAAAACAAAAATTGCTATATTCTATATTTATGTAAAACAACAAATGCCGATATTCTATGCCAAAATTAATCATCAATGCTTGAGTGGCTCAATTAGGATTTATTTGCACAATTCCATGCATCAGGCAAAATAAAAAATAAAAAATAAAATACCTAGCACAAGCTGAAGAGCAAAAGTCTAGAAATATCCCAATTTTTTTAGCATTCCTGTTGGTGTATTTGTGTGAAGAAAGCATGTTCTGTTGAATGGCTTTTTTCTGCATTCCTGCCATGGGATTACAGTTTAGAGATTATGAAAACAATGGTTTCTCCTTTCCTGGATTTTTCACAGCTTTGGCTACTCATCAGCCAAATCTGCATTTCTGCCAACTTTGGTAAAACCAAAATGCAGAAGCATGAAAAGATTTGCCAACTCTGCCACACAATGGAAAAAGAGAAATCATAATCCAAGGGCTGAGCAAAGAAAATTATTGTAACAACATCGTGGTACAGAGAGTCCACCTCTGCAGTCAAATCTCATAATCACAATGAACTTCAATGGACCTGTGAAAAAAAGGCTCAAACAAAAATGTGTTATCATGAGATTCATGGTAATTTCAGCATTAAGGGCTGACATTTTGTAGGAAATGGGTGATAAATGCTTCAACCCTTGGACAGCAGAGGGGTTCCTGGCCACCCTGAAACAAAGTCAGGATTTTCTTGGGGTGGTGTGAGACATTTCAGTTTGACCCAAAGTCCTTGAAATGTGTTGAGGTTGGGAATGCCTAAGGCAGGAAAACTCCAGAAAGGGTGGATTTTTTGTGCTCCAAAATATCTATTGCTATAATCCCATGCAAGGAATCACTGAAAAAAGCCCCCCAGTGAGGAATTTTTTTCCATTTTGGAAGACAATTAGTCTGCAGGATTATAAAAAAATATTGGAATTTTTCCAAACTTGGGACTTGGTACAAAAACAAAAATTAAAAAATTCTCAGTGCTCCTGGGCACAAATTTTTGAAAAATATCCTGACTTGGCCTTGCAATGGTTGAAGAGCTTCGACATTAGATGCATGAAGAATTGCCACAATTTGAAACTTATTTTGCAGCTATAAAAGAGAAAATGAAAAATTGAAACACTAATTTTTCACCTTTCTTTTCTTACATTTTCCAAAAATACTGTAAACTGATTATCCTGCAATATCTGTTGAAACAAAACCAAAAACCACACAAAATCGGATGATCTGGCATCACAAGGACCCCAAAACGCAAAGAAAATTACAAATTTTGCTATGCTGTGCACAGATGATGGAGAATACTCCAAAAAGAAGAAGGGCCATATCAAAGCTTTTCATTATAAATCTGATAAAATTACTGTACAATGCAAATTTTGTTGTTGAATGTAAGAAGCTCCATTTGTTCAAGAAGTACCCACATTATTAAAAAGAAAATATTTCTGTTTTCCAGAACTGTTGGAAAAGTGGCCATATGTCAAGAGTTTGTGCAAGTGTTGGATCAGATTTGTAAAGCCTTCAATTGTTCCTAATAAGTCAAATCAAGGGCTGATATTTTGTAGGAAATGGGTGATAAATGCTTTAACCCCTGGACAGCAGAGGGGTTTTCCAGCAGAGGGACAGCAGAGAGCCTATGTTGGGGTGTCCCTATTTTATGGTCTTACACTGCAAATGAATTTGCCTACATATTTTTGCCAGTGTGGAATGTGGTAGGACCTCCATGAAGGAAACAGTGTCCAGCCTCAACATTGGGGTTTGCATTGACTCAGCCCTGGCATCTGATCCCAGTGTCAACCTATCCTCATCAATATTGACTCCTTCATTTCCTCTCTAAAGTCAGTTTTTTTTGAAGAAATGAAAACAGTTCAAGTGAGGATCATGGAGTCTGCAACTTTTCCTTAACTATTGGAAGAAAAGTTTACAATCGCATGTTGGCATCTGTGGGCACCAAATGTCCTTTTCATTGTGAGGAAAACAGCAATTCTGGAAACATCAGTCCTATACTCCTACCACCACCACCACAGCATTTTTGGCTGCTGGGAAACTTATTGTTGCTTCATATTGGAGTCCAACCCTGAAGGAAAGTTTGGTTCAATTATTCACCAGTTGATGCATGACTTGAAACTTAATTTGTTCTCAATAATGAGCAAAAATATTGTTGGGCACTTTTTTCAAATGTAATATTGAGAAATCTTGATTGAACCTCGTGAATGCTGAAAAGTGGCAAATAAAGTGTTCTGTTCATTCATTCATTCATTGAGAATATTATTGCTTTTGCTCTAACCCTGATATGGAGATTTGGTTCATTAAATTCCAGCTATTGCAGATCATTCAAAACTTGACATTTCATTTCCAATTGGATAAAAGATTTTATAGCATTTTTTGTAAAATTCTTTTTTTATTCCAGCCCTGATGAAAAATTCAATACTTTTGTTTCAGTTGATGCTTGACGTGAAATTCACTTCCCAGATGTGATGGTAGGAAAAAGATTTTTGAATCTTTTTTGCAGATTCATCAAGAATTGATGTTTGAATCCAGCCCTATGATGACAATGTTGGTTCATTTATTTCCACCTACTTGATGCATGGCTTGGAACTAATTCTCAATAGCAATAAAAAATATCGATGAAAGCTTTTTGCAGATGTAATATGGATTCTTTTTTGATTGTTCATTATTCAGAAATCAGAATAAGTGCAGTGTAATTATTTCTTCTCTTCATGCACTCAAAAATTCAAAATGATGAAGGGAATTTGAATTTTTTTTCAATGACAAGGGAAACAATTGTCAAGTATTTTTGCTCATTACCTAGAATAATTTTTTCAATACTTCAACCTTAATTATGATGAAAACGTTCTGTGTAATTAATTTTTTCCTGCATGCATTTGAACATTTAAAAATATTTTGAATGATGTCAAACCCTGAAAATTAAGCTTAGTGTCCTAATGAAAATTTTATATGAAAAAAATTAGCAGTGTAAATTCATGATTCGCTGAAACCTTAAAATAAAATGTGTCACATTCATTTATCAGATTATGGAGGTACAGTAAGACCCCCACATGCAGAAAACTGGTGTGCAAAATTGTAGGTAGCAACCCCTTTTCTCCAATGAGTGGGTGAGGCAAGGGTCGGAACAGAAAATTGAAACATGTCAATTGGTAGGTGCACAATCAACCTTAGGGATTTGCAATCCCAAAGAATAAGTGCCAACTGTAATTTCTCAATCACAAGGAAATGACAAATTTTTAGGCCTGTTTCCTTGAGTTTCCCATGAAGTGAGAAATTGGTTTTTTGCAAATTTTGTCAGAGGGAGAAGGAAGGGGGAGATCCCCTTTTTCTCAGGATTGGGTTGTTAGGAACCCAATTTAACAAAGAAACACTTTTTTTCCAATAAAAATGCATAAAAAGGCCTGAAATGCAGACACTGACTCTACATATGGACATTGTGTGCTGAAATTGCATATAAGTTTCAGGTGAAATTACAAGGAACAGATATTTCCAACCTTAAATTCTGTGTAAAAAGTTCTTTGGCATTTCTCTCATCAATTCACAATCTATTTAGCTTATTTTGAAAAATTACCTCCAGCATAAAGGGGCTTCTTTCTCTTCTTGACTTGAATGTTATTTTTGCAGAAAATGCCAACATTCAAATGTAGTATACAGATGTACAGTATTCAATGCTGCGCATGTACATGTATAGTGTTGGAAGATATTGATTGTGTCAGTTCAAGTTGGGAGACAATTTTTCTTCAATATCATGAAATCATGAACAGTATTTTTTCATAAAACTAAAATTAAAAATATACTGTATAATGTAATTCCAGGGTTAAATGAGACTGGACTCAAGGACATTTCAACTCAGGGACACTCTTGATGCACTGTTTATATCCACATCTTGTGGTCTCACTGTATTATAAATGTTTCAACCAGCATTATCATGAACCTTCCCAACCATATATGTATACCTTTCAAAAAGGTTGCCAAAGAAGGGAGATGGATATTTTTTCAAAATTTAATGGCTATTCAAATCTGAGAATGTCTTTAAAAGAAGTCTTTTGGGGAACCAGAACTTGGGCCCAGGGATATCAGGTCCTGGAACGTATCTCGTCCTGTTTTCCTTTATGCATCCACTTCCCAGATGCACAACTTCTTTGAAAGGCATTTCTCACAACAATCACTGGTGAGGAAGAAAGTCCAGTGCTTTGGTCAGGTGACTCAGGTCAGCTGACCAAAACAATGTGCTGAATTATATAAAAACCCAGTTTTACCACTTCACCAATAATCAGTCCACTAAACTAATTCCTTGCTGAAGCATCCCTGAAACGCTTTACTCAAAACAATCAATCTATGGCTTGCATGCAATCAATTGTTATTCCTGAATTTCTGTGTGCAAATCATTATTCCTGCATTTATTGAATGTGCTATATTTTGCTTGTGTTCTGATGCGCTATGTTTTGCTTTGTGTGGACTGTGGGTTTTGTGGCATCAATAATCCAGACAAAACTATGGATAAGTATAATCAAGGTGCTCCCTTTGGTCCTAGGAATGGTTTCCTACTATATTATCCCACATTGTTCAACTGGAAAGGATTAAACCATCTGGTCCTTCCCCAGGAGGCTGGGAGGGGGTCCGTTTTTGCTGGGTTCATTCTCTAATTGCCAGGTGCATTGGTAATCATGCTGTGTTTTTTGGGACTTCTGATTTACTTTTGTTATAATGTACTCCTGTAAACTGCATTGGGATCCTTCTGTGCACTGAATCATGAGCTGCTCTTGGTTGTTCGCCACTTCTTCAAGATTCTTCAAACATAGCACAAATTACTTGCGTAACAGCAATTGCTTTAGCTTCAGCAGGTCCACAATCTTGATGATGGTTGTCTTCTGGATGTTTACGCGCAAAAATTTGATTTTCACAAACAGTCAGGTAGCGTTTTCTACCATCAAGTTCAAAGCACTTTTGGCAGTAATACACTGATGAACCATTAGGTTTTGTGCCATTTTTGATATACTGTATTTATATATAAAACCAGGAAACCAAGAACTTTTGTAATGTAATTCAGTTTGATTCAGTTGCCTTGAAAGACAAAAGAGTGCTGGACCATAGTCCGCCATTGATACAGAGCTAATGCCTGTGAATCCTGTTGTAAAAACAAAAAAATAGTGAAGTACAAAACAAAGCAAATTCAATTGCGAGCATCAGTGGAAATTCAAAAAAAGAAGCAACTGTTCAACAGGACACTGGGCAACTTGGATACTTCTGAAGAACAGGTATTTAGTATTCCTTATATACCTGAGACTTGGAGGAAAATTATGGTCCCCCTTTCAAAAATAACCTTTTACTTTCTGCACAATTTTTGGGGTATTAGCCCAAGGCACCTGGTGCCAGTTTCCTGAGGCCTGTGCCCAAATCCCTTTTCTTCTCCAATGGTCCAACCAGCTTAATCTGTCTATGGACCACAATTGAAAATAAGCTAGGAGGAAACCATTCCAGACACCGCTCCCTTAACCCTTGGATGGTGGAGGGTTCCTTTCCATTGTGAGGCGAAGTCCGGATATTTTTGGGGGGTGGAGCATTTTAGTTTGACCCAAGGTTGCTGAAATGCTCCCAGGTTGAGAGGGCCTACGTGTTGAAATCGGGCGTGGAAAATTGCGGAAGTCGAGACTCTAGCCGACAGAAAAACGAATAAAAAATCATAAAAATATAGTTCCTGAAAAGGCCTTTGTCTGAAGGGGGGAATGATCCGAATAGTTTTGTCGGTTAAGCTCGTTTGTTGACGAATCGAGGATTAAGTGAGCAAAAAAGGACAAAAGGACTTCATTTCCCGCCGGAGGAATATTTTTATTATACTACACTCAAATGCTTCTGTCCACAACAAATAAAATTCGTAGATGGGAGTGATTGCTGTTTAATCACCTTTTTTTCAGGGTATGGTTAGCTGATTTTCCCGGAAGTCCGAAAGAGACTGGCGAACATTGCATGTCTCAAAATTTTCCAGATTAATTTTCATTTAAAAAAGAGTACAATACATTCTTCTGAAAAATCTTCATATCAAAAAAATGTTGGATGAGGTTATTGATGATGAATAAGACCGTTTCATGAGAAAATTCCTCAATTTAAAATAAATCCACCATGTTTCTGAGACTCTTTACAGAAGCTTTGTAGATTAAAAGCGCATTTTGGCACATTTTCCCCCTTTAATTGATTCCTCAGGAAGTCCAATAATGAGCTGGTGAAAATATTAAATTAATCTAAAAATTTTTGAGATTAATCAATTGTTTTAAAGGAATACATTTTTCTAAAAAAAATGTATATCATCATGGAAACATTGTAGGAGGTGCTTTAAGAAACTCAATAATGGATGAAATGTTGAAAATTCCTGGGAATCCTGACAGAAACGTCATAAATGAAATGTCAAAACAATCTTGTTAGTTGTTAGCAATTCGTCTGTGAATTTGTTGTTAGAACCTTTGAGAAATTGTTTATCTATTTTTGTTCAAACTTCCACCATCTTGTAGGACTTTGAAACAAAATTATTATTTAACCTCACAAGCTGACCAAACAGCAATTAATGCTATAGCGTTTTTTTACATGATTGTGTATACAATGCATTTTCCCAGTTTATTCTGATGGTAATTCAAGAGAAATTACTTGAAGAAACAACTTTGGTAAATAGCAGCAGAACTAATCACTTATTGAATTATGCTTTTACTGTACAAACATTCAATGGCTGAGTGCAACAACAAAATAAAGATTCAAGGTTTTTC